TAGAAAATTCATCCATAATTGTCATCAATTCTTGACGTCAATCACGTAATCATTATTTTTTCACTCTGTACTTTTTTCCGTTCCCAATTTGTGAAACATTAAACTTATCAATATTGATAAATTAATATGTGAACGTTTCTACTTTTTACTTTCCCACTTTTATATAAAAAAATTACCTGATCAATATCATGTCGATAATAAATTTCGCAGAAAATATATCTCTTCTGTTGCGCGATAAAAATTAGCTCAGCAAGTGATATTAATATTACTGATTGCTTATACACGTTCTTTCCATTTCCGTTCTCGTAATCAATTACGAGCCAAAGTTCTGAAGGTGAAAAAGAGGTCGAGAAATCATCCCATGAGACGAAACGTTTAGCTTATTTCCTCTCGATGAATCGAGGCTTGCCAACTTTTTTCGCGTGGATATCATTTCATTGACAACCACTAATAAAGATACAAGATATAAAGAAACTTAGGCTGAATTTCATATATATGGATAAAAAGCATATCTATAAGTGTAATTTTAGAAAATATAAAATAATATAATTTTCTTTAAAAATGAAAACTTGTATTTTTTTAAAGGCAATATCTAAGCAAAATATTATTGCAAAATGAGTATTATATATTATTCACATTTAATTAAACCGATTTCGAAATTTGCAAATCGGGATTTGATATCTTAATGATATCAAATCCTCTGATTATTAAAAAGTATGAGAATATTCAAAACTTTTAGTTACGAAATTGTTAGATGTTAGAAACGCAAATCGCATAAAATTTACGTACTAAATTTTTACTATTTGTATTATTAAATTCGTTTATAATTTGTCAGAATTAAGTGCGTAAATACAGCAAATAAGATATCAATTTTACGCAAACATTAAGATGAGAAGCAATCAAATTTTAATGAAATCCGCTTAAATTAAGCCACTGTCCACTTTACTGTACTTTGCTGATTGCGACTAATCTCTATTCCTTCTGGGATAGGAAGTCTTAAATGACATGAAGGATCGAGCTCCGGTCAACTTGCGAAACTCGGAAAGCTTCTGTTGACTTTAAGCCCACGGCTGTAATGAGAAAGCGCTTTGTGTGCCCGCTTTGCATCGCATGTATATCCTATGAAAAATGTAACAAAGAGAGCACGCTTCAGAGTTGGCAGGCCTTGTCCCGGGAGTTCTTCCACAAAAAAAACATCAATTACGATTGTGTTATAAAGGGAATCATCAATCAATCAATCCGATCTCTATCGCTCATATTGCATGTTTACATACTTACGATTAAACACGCGCACACAATTCGTATAAGGTATAAACTCTTTGCGGATCTTATGATTCGAATCGCGAGTATATTTCGTTGTCGCTAAATTTATCCTGTCTTGCAATCAGTCAAGACCTCAGACTAATAGCACGCTGACCCAAATCTGATCGGGATCACGAATCCTGTCAGAGACAGGAAATTCTAACGGGATATATAGACGTAGTAAATTCGATTGAATCTCTACCCTTCGTCGGTACGCCTAATTAAATTGCATGACGTAAACTCTGTCTAATCGAATAAATCTTGCAAAAACTTGATCGATTTTACTGTGATTCATTTCGTACGAGAAAAGAAGGATTTCCTAAAATGATCTAATTCCTAAATGATCCTTTTGTACATGTGCCTTCTAGCATCGTTAAACATTGAGTGATTTACATGTCGATATATTAAAATTAGTTATCAAAAATAAATTGTACATCTTAAAATCGAGGAAGCATTTTCCGACATTCTAACTTAAAAATATAAGAGAATAATTAACAAATATTCTTGTAATGAAATAAATTTTGTTTCGTATTTTTGATGCTGATAAAGAACAAGATATGACTCATCATACGCATTGTGTGCGCAATAGCAGTGACTCATAAGCAAGCTGTAAAATGTCCTTTGCACGATTATTTGCGTCATAAAATGAAATTCGGCCTATTTCCGGGTTAATATAGAACGGCAATGTAAGCTGGAAAATTTTACGATCACATATTCTAGCATGTTAAAACGGAAATTCTCTTCAGCGCAAATGTATTCACATTCCATTGACTCGATAATTCTAATTTTTCAATCTCTTTAATTCTTGATATATTCTATTTCGCTTAATCTCCGTGAAATCGCAGGCATTAGTTAGATCGATGAAAGTAAATACAGCAAGTTGATGAAACACGTCATCGATAAATATTTCCCGAAATGAATATTAAAATCGGTTTAATTTTGATGAGTTTAATTCTCAAAGCTGTAAATATACGATTATGGTCATCTCAAAATCTCGCGTATTCGTTATAATCACATATCTTGTATGATATGCATCAAAAAAATTTAATTCTCTACTGCTTATGTTTTGATTAATATAGTAAAGTAACTACAATCAGATTTATATTAAGAAATTAAAACGTTCAACTTTTCATTACTCATCTTTATAGTAAATAAGAAAATAATAAATAATAAATCTGTTGAAAAATAATCTAAGAGAAAAATCTATGTCGCTTTCCTGATACTTCATAAAGTGTTAGAGCCAAGTTTGATCTCACCATAGTGGTTGAAAGTAAATACTATATATAGCTTAGGAGTCTTTTACGTAAAGTATCTAAAAGCACAAGAGCTTTCCCAACGATCAATAAATAATTCCGGAAAGCGTAGCTTTAGAAGATATTTTAGATGATCTCACTTGCATGCATACAGATACAATTCGTCTTTTCGTATTATCATAACGTAAAAATGATAATATAATATCTGATTATCATATAATATCTAGCAAAATTATATATCGATATTATTACACATCTAAAGCGTTAGAATATAAATTCTTAGAAGAAATTGCACTGATTTTTTATTCATTGCTGCACTTGAGGAACGACACCATCTTATTCTGAATCTCGGTTCGATTGATTTATTTCCAAGAAATATTCCTTTTTCATTAAACGACACTTCCAGTAATTTGATTTAAAAATATGATCACTGCTTTCCAATCGCTTCAAGTCGCTTAAACTCGTCCCATTTCAGTTACGTCTTTAAACATATGGCACTATTTAAGCACAATAGGGAAGATTTTCACGCACAGGAGTTTATACTGCAGCCGCTTGAATCGTATATTATTAGTATAACTATAAATGAAAAATCACGCTATTGGTGCAACGAGGTAGGATACTGTTATTTTATGTCATGTTCTCGGTATTGTTTTTTGCTCAGCTTCGATATCTATTTTATGTTAATTGTATTATTGTTATATATATAGTGTTCACTTAATATTTTATTATTATAAGAGTGCAAAGTTTTTATATTTTTTCCTCGTTTTATAACACACGCTTATTTATAAGACAAACATAGATGTATTGTAGTACTATTTAAAGCTAAATAAACTCAGTTTGTATCGCGAAATGAACTAGTTTCGAATGAACTAGCATCAAAATAGTATAGATTAGCTATGATTTGAACATTGCACCTCCTCGCACTAATAGCTAGACAGAGTTGACAGCTGTTTAGCATTAAAACAATGCTTCGCACAGTACACATCTCATCGCTTTTTATCACGATTATCGAGTCACGAAGATGCTTATAGTTTATTCAAGAATGCTTTCAAGTAGAGCCGGAGCAGCGCGTCGTATCGCGTAGAAAATTCATGCCCTAATAAAAACAAATAATATACATTAAAAAAAAATAATACTGCATCCTGTGAACGATTCTTTCGTGTAGATATATAGTATTCGCGATACGACAGCGCGATTTGCGCGTCAAACAGGCGATACGGAAATTGGGATGAAAATGTGCTCCAAAACATTTTTAATGAAAAATAAGGAACGATATATTACGTTAAAATAACGGAGTTACCAATATAATTGTTAGGAAAAAGAATAAAAAATATTTTTAAGTTCTCACATGTGTAAAATTTAATATTTTTACTCTATCTTCAATATTTCAAAAAATATGAGTATAAAGTTAATAATTGATTTAATATTATTTAGTCTATTTAAGCATTTTTTTGTGAATCATTTAAATTAAGAAGTATTTTTGAATAAATTTGTTAACTAAGACAATCCGATTATATATATAAAGTAAATATACGAATATATTTATATTAAATGAGACGGATATCGATTATATTTTATGTGAATAACAATTTCATCCAAATCAATTCTCGGATCGCCTCTGAATTTGATTAGCGTTTATTATCTTGAATATACGAACTTTGACGTGTAAGTATTTCCATCTCTTAGCTGAAATAATAATCTACAAATATTTATATATAAAATAAAAATGATATAACCGGTATAAAATATGATACCTATAGTTATTAGTATAGTAAGAATATTTGTAAAAAAAACGGGTAATATACGCCATAATACGTTAGCACTTACCCAAAATTGTAACGTTTAAATTCTCTTAAGTGAACAAATATAAAGATATACACATAATAACATAGATTGCAAAGTCGTTAAATCGTACTCTTATTGCAATTGTTTAAAAGAAAATAGAACATAGGAGGGTAGTGAGGATGCTATTGAACTTCAGATTTTCTGTTTACTGGATAAAACTAATTTTATTTGAAATAGGATTTAATTTTTAATGTTTCTTTCTCTTACTTGATAGAAATATACTAGCCTTATTTAGAGCGAATTGAAGAAATTTAACGTTTTATTGGCAAGATACTTATTAGTGTGAAGAAATTATCGCAAATAATGATCCTCTATCTAATCCGTGCTGACTAAAAATCGATATCGAAATAACGAATTTATAACCGAGAGAAAAATTGCGGAGTCCCCGTGGCGCATCCTGTAGTTCACTCTCGTCTCTGCAATCTTGTTCACGGCACCCTCACTCGTCGTTCCCCGTCGGTCTCTCAACTTTTCTTATCACGTAGATCCCACGTGCATTAAAACGTCACGCTTCGAGAGGCCGCGCTCGATTGCAATTATCACCGCCGTCGATCGCGCTCCCGTGACGGTTACGTGATCAAAAACGACTAAAATTTCCAGCATCTGCACTGGTCGAGCCATCACGTGGACTCCCTAGACAGCGGTGGAGCTTTAGGCTGGCCGAGAACCTCGAGGCCGCGCGTCAACAGTGCCATCGACGTGGCCGGCTTCCTATCGCAGGTAAGTAATTGTGCCGGGAAAAATCCACGCAGAAAGATCGATGGATTACGCGAGGTGGACAGCCGCGTCCTCGAATCCCCCGATCGATCTGCTGGCGCGATTTCGCCCGCGACCTTCCCCCGGATGGACTAACCATGCCGGCCCATACAGTCGCTTTCTGATTATAGCAATCGAGGAGATTGAAATCGGAAGTCAATGAGCGAGTTCCAAGGGAAACATTTAGCTTCAACTACACGATACGAATATTTACAATAAAGTAACTGTGCGTCGCTCCATTGCAATTTAAGTCTATACAATTTATAATTGGAAATTGAAAAGTAAAATATGTGAATTTTTCCGATGAAATCTAAATTTGCGTATCTTGGAACTTAAGCCGATTTATATCCCCTAATACGGCTAATAATGTGCAAATACGATACATGTCAATGTATCTTCGAGATATCGTAAAAAATAAGATGTGCTATTAAGTGATAGCAACTAACGAAACAGAGTCAATTATGGTAAAATAATTTTTACGATCTTGTACGCTAAGCATTGAACAGAATATAAAAAAAGATAAACGAAATATATACATATATATGCAAGTGTGTGTATTTTGTATAAATTGTTGTAATATTAAATATATAATTTTTTAATTTAATTAAATATATATTATTAATATTTCTATGAATTAATAAATAATTTGAGATTGAATTTTTATTGTGTGCTAGTGTTCTATTATGTTTAGCTTTAGTGATATTATTAATAAAAGAAATAAAATTATCGACCACACAGTGTGTGTCTTTTTTTCTTGTGGAATTTAAAAATTAAATTATAACGTTGTAAAAAAGATAGCGATAAATAAAAGCGTTGTAAGCTTTCGTACAAGAGTCTTGAAAGTGAGTAGTCCCAATAACACGAAGGAAAAATAATAGTTCATTAGGCATTCTCACTGTGCATTCTTTTTGCAAGACGTGTTACGCGAATGTGATAATTTCTTATTCTACCAAAACAACAGATCAAATCATTACAAACGCCATAGTCGCGATTATATATATCGCTCGAATTAAAAGTTCGAAATAAAAGTTTCCTTTCCGTCCATCGACAACTGCGTATCGATATTTCTCTTTCTTCTACTAGCACGATTGTTATACAATTGTTATAGTTTCAGATCGCGCGTTTCGGCATATATTGTTAACATAACGCAACCAAGTCGAAGGGAATAACCATATCCCTCAATGCGACAGTTATTTCAATAAATAATGAACACGAAAGAGTTCGTGCGAAAGAGATACCTCAAACGTCAAAGTTCAAGGTAGTTTGAGGCAAAGTGTAGTGCACCACAGGTGATCAATATGTTCGTGGATTACTTGTAAGGAAATGGACAAACTCATTTTTGCCGCATGAACGATGTGTGTATTATACATTTCCAAATCGCGTTCTCATTAAGTCGGCACTGGATGTCTATTTTATTATTTGTCGTACACTATTTCCGTGTATTTTTCTCTAATCTCTCTATATACACATTATATTACGACACGCTGCTGTCGCGATTAGCACGATACTATTAACAATTGGCTCGCAATTGGCACAATACTAGCACGATGATATCGTCAATAAGACAAAATTCTGTTTGGTGTTTTTCAACGTCGATATTGTACACGAGATTTGTTGCATTTTCAGCGTATTGTTATTTGCAATGATAAAATTAAACGTATAAATTAATATTAAAATATTCCGTCGTAATGTAAACCCCATAATATAATTTATACCAATTAGCTAAAATCCTCATCTCGCATTCCTGACATAACATTTATTAACCTGTAAAACCGAAGAAGACTTTATTATACAATATTTAATTTGTAAATAGTAATTCAGATACGAAAGAGGATGTGCCAGACAAGCACAGCAAGCATACATTGCGATACGATTAAAAATTAAAGATATGTTTCTGCTCAAAGAAGCGTTATGTTCTTCCATTACCGTTATTCACGCGTCGCTGTCTTTAATCACACTGTTCATTGTACTACACTTAATGGCGCACAACGTAAAACCATATCCATAAAAAGTCTGTCAAAATTCTGTTAAAAAAGTAAAACGCTGCCCTAATTACATCGCGCAATTCTCTCTGACCACACTCAATGCTTTTTCGTTTCAGGAATTTCTGCGACGCCACGGGTCCACGTCCAAATTGTGTCGTAAGGTTCGCAGTGCAGATAACTTACCTCTCGTGTCGACGAATCGCCAACAGAATCAACGAAGAAATTTCAGGGACGACGGTATCGAGGGCGACCGGGAATCTTTCCTGAAACCAAATCACGACGATAAGTCTGACGACCAAGAATCAAGGAGGCAGAGTAGTCTCGAGAGTGCAACGAAAGACAATATGGAAGCGCTGTTGGATCCCGGTTGTCAACAGCCTTCTTCAAGGTAAGTTAAATTTAAAAAGTAATTATATATACCAAGTTTCTCACTTGTTACATCTTTCAATCCGATAATTCGCAAAGGCTAAAAATATATGTTTACACAAACATTTTATTGGTATAAAATATTCATTAGTTTATCCTATACGTATATGTATGTATAATGCAGATTGTTATAAAACTAAAATAATTTAAAAAACTAATTTTTATTTCATTAATTAGTTATTACCTTCTTTCTTATAATATAAAATCAGATATAATATATACAAGTCATCGTAGAAGTGAAATATCAGCGCGTATGAAGCTGAAATAATTACTCGCGGCAATAGAATTACATATGTAGTCTGTATATTGTAGTTAAAAATATATGTATGATTAAATATATACTTTGAAATATATTGCTTTCATAGTCTTGGAAGGATCAATCTAAATAGGCTCTCTAAGGAAATCGCATTTGCCATTTGCAGCGTGGAGACAATATCTTTATGATTCAACAACTTGGACGGATACGCTATGTCTCATCCTGTTTTGATATATTATGTGGTATCTTATAAAAAGATTTAGATATGCAGATAAGATATAATAAAAACGATAATATTCTCTTGTTTATCGAAGGTTCGCGTCCCGACCCGGGAAACCGTCATATTGATCGTAGAACGCAAATTGTGCTCCAGCTGCATCGTGATTTTAGATGAACATGTTATGGTCCTTCCCTTCCTATATTTCTATACCTATATTTCTATACTTTTTACGATTTATTAGTATCACAAGCGTTTTTGCTCACAAACAATTTTTTGAATATTTACATAATTCAATAGGAATCATCAAATGACGCATTTTTATCATGTAGCATATAAAAACAGTTATCTTTAACATATTCACGTATGTAGTGTATTTTAATAATTACAATAAGAGCATGCGTATTTCATAGTGTTTTTACAGATATTCAATTATATTTGCACAAATAAAACTAAATAACCGTACTAATATAGCAGTTATCAAGATAAATGGCATAAAACGATTACATCGCATTTTACTAAAAAATATTGTTTAAATTAATATTTATTAATTTATGTATTATAAGAAATATATATTAGGAAGAATATTTTTATTTGGGTTTTAAAAATTAATTTTTCATTTTTATAAGTTTCCACAAAATCTTTATAAGTCAGATATTCAGATATTTTGAAACAGCGAATTTGTATATTATTCGCTTTCAAATATAAGGTATTTTACAATTAGAAATTTTAATTTTGATAACAATACAGTTAAAAAATCTGTAAAATTTCAAAATTTTAGAATTGCAAAATTCCGTAAGACAGCCTTCATTTGCGAATGTATTTAACGTATACAAATTTATTATTATCGTAAAGGTTTTGTTTCAGCGGCACGTGCTTTTCGTAGCAATATTCAAGCTACACATAACTTGTACAGTAATTAACAATTTTAAATTTTATATATACTGCTTTTATATATACTATAGCAATTGACACAATTTTGTGCTTTTCTTTATTATACGTAATTATACGTATATACGATATTGCATATTTGTACAATATTCACACGTTACAGATATTGATAATTTTATTAAACGCCATCGTCCTTTCACCGTGAATGCAACGCACATTTATTTAATTGCAATTTAACGTTTACGTTCATTAACGTATCAAATTAAATTAAACACATCCGTGCGTAAATATAATTTCAGACAAAATAAAAAAATTTCCCGTTATCATGCTTTACGCAATCTACAGAACTTTTGCGATTAGCTGAATGGATGAAAAAAGTCTTAATATTATTAACAATATCGATAAGTATTACAAAAAAGATATTAATCTTAAAGAGAACGTTATCATGCCAATATTATCATTAGATATCGATAAAATAAAATTTATAAAATATTATAAAAACAAGAATATGTGAAGCCACTCATTCTGCAATATTCGACTATGTCAGATACCTCAGTATTAGCGAAAAAAATCTTTCAAAAGCAGAGAGTAATATTTAATCAAAATGTATCAATTATTATGTTACTTTTTCGCAATAATTATATAATAAAATTATAGGGGAGAACATAATATTTTTTATACACTTTCATATTGTTTATAACATAATTACCGCTACATTACAGCATGATGCAAAAGAAATATATTGTGATTCCACATTTTATTAGTATGGTTTCATAAATACTTCCTATTCCTTGTCTCTTATTATTTTTAGATAATAGAGTAAAATCGGTGTCCACAATTTTTTATAAATATCTGATTACGTTTGAATAAGTGTACTTGATAAATCAAAATCTGCAATATTTATACTTATCGATATCGTTATTGCTGATTATCTTGTTTTATTATGATATTGATATTGAGAAAAAATATCCATATCAGCATGTCTATTTGAATTCGTTTTATAATCGGTCAGAGCAATCTATATTAGTTATTAGGAATGCATCGCCGATGCGACTTACACAGAATAATAAACGCATCGACCTGGTCGCAACATAGCCAGGTGCACTTTCGCCCGCAGCGTCACGCGGGCAAGCGATAATGACAGTCCGGGGAATTTAAATGCGGCGGTGCATTGTTGCGGGAACGCGGCGACTTCGACCCGCGATGCACGAGCCTCCCCCTTCCCCGTCGAGTGGGTGGCTTATCGATCACAATTTCACTAGGCGATGTCCACTTGACCCGCGTGTCGCATGTAAATGACTTTGCTACTTTGCAACCCTTTGCAATCGTTCGCATTGCGCGACCTTCCGCTTTTCGCAGCGCGCGTTGCCGTGTGTTATTCTCGTATCGCTACATCATGTTGCGAACTCGCGCAGCAGCGATTAGCATCGACGAGGGTAACACCGACGGTCTTCGTCGATTAAAAAAAAAAAAAGCTGCGCGAGTTGTCTGGGTCGTTTAATCTTTCGACTACCAAATGATGCAATTACCCCACGATAGAATTAATAGATTCTGCGTCAAATAAATTTTTAATGTTTTATTACAAATTATATCTGTTAATATAATGCTTCTGATTGAAGTTTGTATTTATATACATTTGGCTATTAAAATATATCTAAGATAGATTTTGTATTTGTTGAATCATCTTAGAAATGAGTTGTAAAAAAATAAATATAATTTAAGCAATATTTTGTATGTATTGATATAAATAATAAGAATAATAAAAAGATAAGATGACATTAGATCCAAAAAAAAAAAAAAAACCATTTGCTTCAAATAGAAAATAGAAAAAGTATACTAATGTAACTTTATTACATTCCCTTCAATAATAAAAGGGTTAACAAGAAAAGAGCAAAAACAAACTTTTTTAAAATTAAATTTACACCATTTATACTGAACTTTTTTCAATTTAATATCGAATTTTATCAGCAGAGGTACGTTATATTATTCGTGCGTTGATTGTGATGGTCAACTAAATTGTACACTAAATTGAATTGTAAAAATTTTTATTTGGTAGTTATCAATATTTATTTATAATAATTAAATATCAGAACTTATTCGTGTTTCTTTTTTATTTTTATGGAAAAAGATATTTATTTCAAAAGTTTAAAATTGATGTAATATTATATATAACAGAGTTTATTCAAAATATGTATTTTATTCTTATTAAAAAGAGAATTTTAATTTCTCATATTACACAATACATGTGCTATATGTTACGGTATCTATTGCCCAATTTAGAATATTTCTTTTGCGGTTGCGATTTAGCAACAATACGGCAAGAAAAATGTCTCGAAGTATATTTAGGTCTACTTTAAACTCTACAATGATCGCTACACATGCATGTCATTAGATATATTCTGCAAATGTCCTGCTTTTCTTTTTATATTGCATAATTTCCATAATATCAACGTTACATGCGCACGTGTCGCACTAACGCAACTACTTTACAAAGTTATAAATTATAGAAAACCCGCGTGTGTGCATGCGATATACGCAAACTTTCTTCGTCCTTAGCTTGATTTTGTCGCAAGTATGTACGCAAACCGTGTTTTTCTTACTAGCTTTATTTCTATTGACATTCAGAACTTTATCTTACGATTACTATCGTTGAGCTATTACGTAAATGTTATTTGGTTTTAGTCTCATATCGCGCAACATCTTGATAAATCCACGATGATCATTGAATATGAATCTTTTATTCACGTAATTTATACAAAGCTAGCAAGAAGAACAGATAGATGTACGCGATATTCAATATTGATAGTGTACATATAAAGTCCATTTTAAAGTCGAGAATTGATGATTATAGTAGCATGTGATGTAAATCTATAAACATAGATATTCTATCTATAGATTGAATTCACTAAAAATATCGCACTATTAATTAGTATATCTCTCTCTCTTTCTTTCTACCGTGACCCCGATTTCCGTTAGGAAACCTTGACTGATACTATAAAGTCGGAAGGAGCCGCCGATTCGTCACTGGAGCTCATCCTCTCAAATAACGCCTCGATCCTGTTGCTCGAGCGGCTCATCGTGGCAATTGCGGTGTCGCCGCACGATTCCGATTTTATAGTATCGATCAAGGTTTCCTAATTACGGAAATCAGGGTCATGGTCGCGTCGCATAACAGAGATCAGCTCAGGGTGCGGTCGGTTGCGTGTTGTTCGCGATCTGCGAGGAAGCGAAAAAATGATTTTTAGATTATATAAGAGAAGCAGCGGCTAGAAGGAATGAAGCGTACAGTAAAACATTGTACGATGATACGAAGCATATTATAACGCGTGTATATTTATTTTTAAAATTTAAAAAAATATGTTGCCAAATCAATTAAGAAATAGATTAGAAATAGTAGGAAGAGAGCGAAAAACAAACACGACAGGCCGGGGACATTGCAATATAATTTCGTAGAACAAGAAGTGCGCAAAAGAATATGTTTTACGAAGAAGTGAAATTGTATAATGCCTTACTAGCCGAGATAAAACAATGTGAGAGTTGAACCGTTTAAGCCTTTAAGCGAATGTTAAAGGAATATATTTTATTGAACGTAACTATTAATTATATTACAAATAGCTGAGAAAGTTAATAAAGAACAATCGATCAATACATGTTAATAATAGGCTATTTTGAGTTAGCAACTAATCGACAATTTGTGATTCAATTTCTTCTTAATAAAATTACGAAGATTTAAAATATTGTATATTAAAAATTGTTATACATGTGCAAAATCGCACAACCAAATCGTTTATATTAAATATATAAACGATCAGATAACGAAACTCTATTTACAATCTAACTTCAACTTTGATTTAATTGCAACACACACATAGAAAAAAAGTTTATTTTAAAAATTTATTTTATTTTCATCCCACAAAATAAGGTATTTAGTTATTAAACTATTCAGGCAGTCGGTTCGGCAGCAACTTCGTATTTGAATATGTACAAATGTAAATATTATGGCGTGTAAATAACATCTTATACAAATTACATATTAATCTTCAGCGTATTAAAGATAATTATGCTCATGTTTCAGAGACTCCCCGGTGGCATCTTCGTCGTTGGTCGCCAAACGTTTCGGAGGATGGCGCACCAGCGGAAATCATGATTACGTCAGATGCCCTATGCGACAACCTGCTTCCATGGACGAGCGGTAAAAGCCTTTCGTTTTGTTTACAATTTAAACGCGCGAAACAATTCGTGACAATTCATGAATCTTCGACATTCTCCGATTCTCAAAAAGAAAAAAAAAATGCAGTTGAATTCTTTAATAATGAGCTTATGTTTGGCGAACAAATATCTCTCCGATAATTTAAGAACAGTACCCGCGACATCTATTATAAAAGGCATTCTCTCATGAATTTACAATAGCCGATATTTATATCTCGAAGCACTTCCCTGAAAGTTATCGGTCATAAATATGTCATCATAGATGACACCGTCTCGTTCTACAAATATCTCCTCCTTTATTAAAGAATAACGACCTAGAACGATAATATCTATGCACACAGAACGATGCGTGAGTTAAGTATTTCCAAAGATTCAATAAGAGAAGGCTCTTTTTACAAAACACATAAGATAAATGATAAATTTCAAATATATAGATATAAAATTTTGATAACCAAAAAAATAGAATCAAATCTTATCTTAAATATACTAATTTAATTTCGAATAATCCAAAAAAATAATTCTTCATTTTAACATATATGATATATTCCAAACTATTCTCTGCTCTAGTCTGATTAAATTCTATTCTAGTCAAAAGATTGGGACAATATTCTTTAGAAAGTGCTAGTCTAGAAGCTAAGATAAATTCTAATTCAATATCGATTAATTCCGAAAATCCTGCAGGTATTATCGGCGATCATACGAATCCGAACCCCCTCGTCCGATACGATATCATCACTATCATCGACGCACGGACGCCGATCGGCACTCGAAGAGCTGCGATTATGCAAGGCGAGGAACCACAGAGTCGAGCATCGAGGTACAACACTTCGGTTTACCGATCCTCAGCGTGAGTGAGCCGAGTCCACCGGATGAGAGCGAGCGCGTCGATGACTATTTGTAGGATTTGCTTGCCGAGGACTTCCTTAAGGAACTCCTCGTGTAACCTGCCCGGTCAATCTTCTCATCCCGATCCGATCTCGTCCCTAATCGCGGAACTGCGAGTCGCGACCACGTGTCGCCCGGATATTTTACTTTCCCTCGAACGTTCGCTGTATCATCGATATAGCAATCGTTCCGCGATAATATATACTATACGTTGTTGCGTTCTTCAGGAAATCGTAATTGAAATAAAATAATCCGAGTAAAGCGAGAGCGAGGATTTTCCGATCGCATGCAATCTCCCCTATCTCTGTTCGTTGTAAGCGCGATATTCTTTCATGCGTATCATTTTAGAAGAGATCATGAATATATATTTGCTACTTGTCTGATAGGAACCGCGAAACTATGAGAAATATTCGCATTTGATCCAGACTTATTCCTCGGCATGAGTTGGAATGATACAATGCTAATATCTATTACTTCTCAATATAATGACTTGTGCTCATTAAAATATATTTTTCCCAATATTTCTGGAAAATCTCCCAGTGAATTATAAATGCATGTCAGAAAACATAATATTTAAGTCTCTATCTTTTATATTATAAAAAATATACCGAGAAAAAAATTAAGTCCGGATCAAATTTGACTATCTTTTGTATCATATATTTCTAGGAAGTATGTGGCTTGGTGAATAATTTCGTTACTTCGATATCCCTAATATTATTAAATTATATTACTTATAATTATAAATTTGTATTAATTTGAGAGAATTTGCCCTGTCTTACTTTAGAATCTCAAAAATTATTATCCTATTTGCTGCTCACTCACAATGTAATATCTTAATATCTTGTGAATATTTTGATGTAACATGCGATATAAGAGTTATGAATGTCATTCGAGGTTGCTTGTTTATAAGCTTATACAGTTACAATTCTCCTATATGCACGAACAAGTGCGTAATAATGTATATATATGTCTCCTTCCATTCTTCGCACTTCCCTAATTTTCACGTTGCATTTTCTTGTCTCAATGCTTAGAAAACAGCTTTTCTCTTTTATGTGCTCGCTATTATCAAGATACACTATATCAAGATCTAAGATTCAATCTCAGTTGCAGCTTGAAATTGAATAGAAATTGAATCATTTCGATTTAATGTTGAAGCCATATCCAGATATGTATTAAAAAAGATATTCATTTCTTAATTACGTCTTGTGTCTATATAATAATATAGATAGTGTTCAAAGAAAATATAATAACAAAGATATACATATATGTATGTGCATCTATATTATATATTGGACGATTTCAAAGAATACTTCAACGTTAATATGACTTATATTATTTAACTTTGTTAAAGCGGATTTTATATATCAATCAAGATCTCTCTCTACTAAAGATAAATAGCGCATCGTAAAAATCATACAAAAGCATTAAAAAATATTAGGCATTTCCATTTGATCAAAGCCTACATAGGTCAAAACGTCTGTGATGTTTATGCACATGTTTAGCCTGTGATAAGTTCGACATTTCACAAATGTTATTTCAAGTTATAGGACATATATTTACCTGTTTAAATTAATGATTAACTTGATAGGGCATATATTACTTGTTTGATCTCCCTTAAGCAAAGATAAATGTGCAGTCTCGCGAGTATTCGAAATTATACGCCTCGACCATTTGCGATATTATATCATTATATAGGAATTGTATCGCGATATATATAAGATGTCTTGGATCAGCTACAGTCCTTCTATCGTTATAAGAAAAAATGCAGCTGATTGAAAATACTCCCTGTACGTGTCAGGAGCGATAGAAACCGATTTATTTACACATTATATATTTCTTCCAAACAATTTAAGACTTGCGCGTGCGAAAATTTCAACGCATTGATGCCTGAAAACTTGAGTTGTATTCTAATCCTTTGCAACATATATCAACATACGATATATGAGAAAAAAAGATAATGAAGAATAAACATAAAGAAAAATTGTTTAATAATGTTAATAGAGAATATGCCAATAACAAATTTATTTCTAAAAATATGTGCTATTTTCTATATATAATATATCTAATTTCATATATATAATTAAATCATTTATAAACTGACATGAATTAAGCGAGGATTTAGAAAAAAATCGCTATTTTCAGGTATCTATGCGATTACAAAATTCTTCTTCAAAACGCACGCGGAAATGCGATCTTTGATATGGGACCTAATCGCGGCTAAATTGCGAGGTTCCCTGTCTCTAAAATATATCGAGGAGATAAAAATTTCCCTCGATAATCGGCTTATTGCTTATCAGGGTTCATCGTAACGTGGGAACAATATAAATTGTGTAATAATGCGTGCGACAGATTCTCGTACCGGGTTATCCGGAGTACCCTATAATACAGCGCCTTATCAGTCGATTAGAAAGCCGCATGGCTTTTTTTCAATAATAACGATTCACCGCAATCACAAAGCACATGCCTCTCATCGCTATTGATCTTCCCTCAACTTCATATCTTTGGACCAATCGTTGTAGGAAGAAGGGGCCATTATTAAAAAACTCACAAGATTTGATTCGTTACAAGAGAGTATACAGAGGTATCGACAAAAATATATGGCCAAGTCTACATTGCACATTTAAAGGTAAAAGGATTTACTACAAACACATTCACAAACACATACATACACATATATACTTTTTTGAAAAGTTATAAAATAAGTATTATTTATAATTATATGAATAAAATATATAATATTAATTGTAGTTTAAAATATCGTATTAGAATTTGAAAGATAATTAGATGGTTATGGCTCTTTATTTATTAAACAACAAAATCGAAATATTATCTTATTATTTTAGTATCATTTCAATATAATACTTTTTTATGTGTGACGATTTTATCTTTAACCATATCATGCGAAGGGACTGATTTTTAAACACATATTATAGCATTATTTGTATTTATAAAATAAGTAAAGATATATCTTAAGCAGGGTTCTCATTCCTATTTATACATATCGTTAAAAACCAAATGTGATTTTTTTATTTTTAATATTTTAAATTCTTGATATCATTATGCTGGTAATTTATCAACCGCAAAATTTGGGGACCAATCAAATGAAATTATATATATTTGAAAAAATATGTTTACTTTCACTCGCATGAACATTTTACATGATAAAATGTTCGCGTATTGCATTGTAAATCGAGAAAAAGATCACATTTTTCTTATATACATACATATATAATAAATCCCTGCGAATATATAACTCAATAATCCGGGAGATATAAATATTGATTAATTTTTACTTTTAATTTCTCAACAGTTGAATAGTGAAATTGAACTAATTTAATAAAAATAGATGTATTAGAATATATCTATTCAGTTAATTTTTCATATATACCCACACACACACACACAGACATACATTTTTTACGATTAGTTTATTCATCGATATCTGCCAACAGCCAATTAAAATTTTTCATCTGTAATTCTATAAAATTTGAGCCCAAAATAATAAAAACATGTAAGCTTTCATATATTTAAGTTGCATTCCAAAACTAACACAAAAATTTATTTCTAAAATTTAAGTTTTTAAAGCACTAAATCAATAATATAAAGAAATAAAGTCGAAACTTTCTTTTCGATATTATGATATTATATGATATTTTACAAATAGATATGCATTATTATTTCAGATAACTTTTGTATAACTTTATCTATAATTTATAGATGTATTAATACGGAAAGAAACTTATTAATTAATCTTTGCATTACTACAATTTTGCATAGTATTAATAAATAATGTTATTGTACCTCTCGTCCGTAGAAATAAAATGTATATTTGCTTGTTTATTTATTTGTATTTTGAACTATAGCACAAAGATATATTAAAGGAATATTTGAAAATTCTATTATAACAAACTAGCCAACAAATTATTCTTGTCATTTCAATGTATGTTTCATTAAAGTAAACTTTTTTTTTAAGTTAAACTTAATATTTGATATTAAATATCAAATCTTAAGAAAATTTTAATAATATAAATTTACAATATATATAATTTTCCAATATTTCGTACTTTCCAAAATAGTGCTCTAAAAAGATAATTCAGATTTTGGCGCGAATACTGTCGCACGTATTAAACTACAAAGGACGAGTAAATTATATGACGAGCGCGTTTATACAACAGTCATTATAGCAACTACTTAAGAAAAACGATAAAAATCGGTAATAGGTGCCTCGCGATCTTTCATCTAGTCATGCATTTTCGTTATCTCGTCCATTGATAGGCCGCGATCAAGTGGCGTTCCTTTCTCTTATAATACGCGTGTAAATATCCACGACCAATATACATAATATATTAAAATATGTATAATAATTAAATTTACGTACGGACGATCCCTTTAATTCCTCGAACACGTTTCAGAATTTAAGATCACAGCCTTACACGATACATGTTTGATTTTTATTCTACTCGATACTACACAAGTGTGTATCAGATGACACAGCGCAAGTGATGATTTTTTAAAAATATGTTATTCTAAATTACATTGTATGTATAATTTTTATATAGATAAGTTAAATATGGAAGATAATGTGTCGCGGAGGATAATTGTATATCGTCGCTTGTGTGTATCGAAAGATAAAATTTGCATATCTGCGCCCCCTGTTAATTCAAAAAATTAGAAAAATATCGAGATCTTGTTAACAATCATTTTTAATTTACAAATCATAATTTTGTAAAACATGGAAAACAAGGCCAACTTTTGACGCTGCGTGGTAGAAAAAAGAAGCTGTTGTCTATAATAACTACAATTTACATCGCATGATCTTTTGCACGAAATTTTGTGTTACTCGGAACCAGCGGCTCTGACGGCCGCCTAAGATTTATATATCGCAAATATACATATATGTAAATGCATACACATATTTATGTGTATTGACAAATACTTTATATATTACAAGTCGATGAAAGAGTGATGATGTAATGCTTTAAATCTCAACCAAAAATATTGTTTTTATGGAAAAATATCTAAATACTGGGAGCTCATGCTGAGATTCATTTGTGCGCTAAACTATTTAATTGAGCGTTTATCTTTAACGCTTTCCAGCTTATTTCTCTTCTCTATCTCAACTATATATATATATATATATAATTTATTTTAATATTTTTTATCTGAGTTTAAGAATCCCTTCGCTAAGCTGTAAGTTTTATCTGCTTTTGTTACTCGTTTCTAAAACTAATTCTCCGATTTCACAGATTCTGTTTGTTTATTTGTTTGTTCGAGTATCACGTAAAAGCAGCTAAAGCTATTTCTGCAAAAGTTTTAACGTATTTTATGGATAAATCCGATTTGAAATGTAGATTATATATCATGTTAGAGAAAAAGGGGAAAAAGAGGGAAAGA